AATAATGATGCTGGTGCTGATGTATTAGCGCAGGGCAGGGGCGGCTCCGCGGCCGGGCGTCCGCGGGCGGCGGATGCTGGGGTGGGGGGAGCGCTAATGGGCAATCTGGTGTTTGCTCAGCAGCCGCTTGCGGGGATTTTTCCCGGGTAAAGAAAAAAAAAAAGAAAAAGAAAAAAAAAAAAAAAAGAGGAAAAAAAATAGCAGCAGCGGCTGGGGCACGGCTGAGTGGGCTTTGAGCAGAGGCGCGAGCAGATGGCGCGGAGCGGGCCCTGCGCGCCGCCCCGCGCAGCGCCCGGCCCCGCTCCGCCGCGGACGAGGCCGCGTATTTATAAGTGATTTATTCTTTATTTTCCGGCGCAAACAGAAATCCATAAACTGTCGGTTCAGCGCCATTGACTCTTTGATCAGTGGCGGCGCCGCCGCTGCCGCTTCCTCCGCGCCGCGAGAGCTCGAGCGCGCGGCCTCCGCGCATCCTCCTCCCGGCCCCGCGCGCCGCGGAGCGCGCCGACCACAAAGGGCACGCGCCGCCTCCGCGAGGGCGCTGCGGAGCGCGCAGGGCTGCGCGGGCCCGCGTGGGAGCGCGGCCGCCCCGCTCCGCTCGCGCCGCGGGAGCCGCTTGCCCAGCGCTCCGAACCATCCTCCTCCCCACAGCCCCAGCGGCCTCGCCGGGAGAGGAAAAATAAATAAATAAAAAAGAGCAACATAAAATAAAAATAATATTAAGCCCACAGTAGTAAGTATCTTTCTGCCGTTAATTGCCGGGCTGCAATGGTGATAACGCGCAGTTATCGTCGGGAAAGTTGGCCAAGACAGGTTAAATAATTTAATAAGGAACTGCTTGTAATTATGTTATTTACAAGGTATGACAGAGGTTCGAGGGAGAAACAGAAGCTGATCCCAGGGAAATGGACGGGTTTGGGTGACCCCTGGAGCACGGAGTTTGAATTATGGAGATGGGGGGCTGAGAGGTGACTCTGGACTAGAGGAGAACAAGGTGACTTCTCACCCCGGCACATTTAACTTTTAAATCCAAATAAGCGGCTCGCGTTACGAGATCATGGCACCATGCAGGAAAAAGCCCTAATCGCGCCCAGTTCCGCGGTGCCCGAGGGGAGGGCTGCCCTCTTCCCACCGACGGGAAAACGTAACTAAAAAGTTACAACGGGAAAGGAAAAAAGAAAAGAAAAGAAAAAAAAAAAAACACAAGAACTGCTATTAAAAATAAACCTGGGCGACCTGATTTTTTTTCCTCTTACATCTACCCTTTGCCGAATTAAGTATATCGAGTGCATATTCACATGACAGTGTACCTAATGACACATACACTATTTAACGACACATACAGTGCTCGGGATAACCACAATAAACCTATTTCACCCTTAAAAAATATTTTCTAGTGACAGATTTCTTAATTACTCGGACAGATAAATTAGAAGAAAAATCGATGCGCTCTGCCAATTTAATAACCACCCCCCAAACAAGTCAGGGCAAAATACAAAACTTAGTTATTCGACTGTTAAGAAAAGCTTAAACTTTCTCACCTGTTTGGTCATTGAATCTATTAGGCGCACGTACAAATCCTGTTCTGTTCTAACTCCTGGGGAGGGGGAAGCAGAGACAAATTCGCGTTAGCGTTTCAGGCGCGAACCACCCAAATTACATAATGAAAACATGAGGTCAGTCCATTAAGCGCTATATACAATATATCAACACTCGCGTCAGCCTTGAAAAATTAAAAAAAAAAAAAAAAAAAAAAAAAAAAAAAGGCCAGGCGTAGTGTATGGCCAGGGTCATGTTCAGCACGCGGGGCAGTTGGTGCCCAAGAGGAGCCGCTCCCGCGTGGGGCCGCGCGTGTCCCCGCTGCATCCTGCGGGACGGGGGCTCAGCATTCCCAAGGAAACAGTGGGGATAACCCGTCACGGGGCTCCGTGATGGATACGCGCGGTTATCCTTCCTGATATCCAGATAATCTGCCCTGCGTGGGCTCCAGCCCTGCTGCGGCTGCTCCGCGCGGTTACCCCATCGCAATAATTAACATTAATTTGCGAAACTGAAAAAAAAAAAAAAAAAAAGTCGCTTAAAAGTGATGTTCTGTTGGAGCAGGTATCGATCCCCTTTTTTACTTTCCACTTCAAGACCAACCGGTTAATCATGTGAAGTGCCATTGACTTATTGATCGTTTATGTTTTGTTTTCCTTATATGCCAAGAAAAGAGCCGTGTTTACATGCATGTAATTTTAATCTCAAAATCTTTATGCCTCTAAAAAAATAATAAAAAATAAAGGCCTCGGAAAAGAAAGTAGCACTTTTTTTTTTCGTGGCACACACACGCTCAGAAATGAGGCAGCACCAACTTACCGTTGCTGTACAATAACTGAAGTTTGTAATGAATCCCATTGTTAGTTTTCTCATTGTTTGGCTCCTGCAATAACGATAAATAATTACGTTCAGCACGAAAAGCCCCTTCCTGCCGCCGAGCCCACAGTCTGCTCCCCGCCGCGCGCGGAGCGGCTCCCACTGCGCTTCGCGGAACCGATGCGCGCGCCGAGCCGCTCCGCGGGCGCGCGTGGGGTGTCCGCGCGCGGCTGTGGCCCCGGCAGGGCCCACGCTCCGCGGAAGCGCCCCCGCCGCGAGCCCCGCGCACATGTGCGCGCACTTACTTTCTCTTTCTCCACAAAGTCCACAAAAGCCGTGCGCTCGATCTCCACGGGCTGCCCCTGCCTGTCGTACAGAGCTAAGACGAAGTGGAAAAAATTGGATTTTCTGAGATTGGAAGGCGGCTGTTTCTCGAAATGCGCCCGAGCCAGCCCCACGCCGCTGCGGGAGAGAAGGAGACAAGGGGAGCGTGAGCGCGGCCGCGGGCGGGCCCGGCGCGCGCCGAGCCGCGCAGAGGCGCGGAGCGCTGCGCGGGCGGCGCACGTACCTCTGGGCGGCCGTGTTGGCATCCACCACCCCCGCGGTGTGCATCCACGAGCGGACCGGGTTCATGCCACTGCCCAGCGGCTCCTCTTTCATGGTCGTCCCGCCTCTGGGTATATTTTCCTGAATCCCAAACATTAAAACAAATTTGGGCTCAAGCAGCTCCTAAGCGAAAGGGGCTGGAGGCGGCGGCTCTCCCGGCCCTCCGCGGCGGCTGCAAGGCAAGCGCTGACTTTAGTCCGCGGCGCAGCGGGAGAGAAGCCCCGCGCAGGTCTCGCTGCTTCTTCACTCTGTCCTGTATTGGCACGACATAAACAATTTACTGAGCACTTCTGCGCGGCTACTTGGGTGGCGTTCCAGTTTGGTGGTAAAAAAGAAAAAATAAAAGAAAAAGAAAAAAAATATATAAAAAGTGTAACTACGGCCGGCGATAAGGCGAGGTGGGAGTTCGCTCGCTCGCTCTTTTTTTTTCGGAGAAAATAAATATTTTTGTCGCTGTCGCCCGCAGACGCGCTCAACGTGGTGCCATCCCAGCGAAACAGCTTCTCTTCCCCCCCCCTCAAAACAACACCAAAATAAATAAATAAAAATAATAATAATAACCAAAAAAAAAAAAAAAAA